TGCTGCTCTTTGTGCTCCTACTCTGTTCTCCCTGCACACAGGTTGGCTACCCCAAAGTATAGTGCCTAACAGTGTTGCCGTGGTCTTGGTTGGAGGATGTTGGAATTTGACCACATCAGTAATTAAGCTTTTATTAAATCCAAAGGCTACATTACTTTAAGTGAGCATTCTAAAATACTGCAACAAATCCCAAGTAGCTGTCCTGTGCTGGTTCACTCCAGTCAATCAGCTAACATTTAACAAAGAACCCCTCTCTTACCCTGTTTTAGCTCTAGATTTCTCATTGCATCATTTTCTTCTGCATTCTAAAATGTAATTAGATTTAGCCCAAAACTTCATATATACTTAATTAATTTCCCCCAAAACAGTGATATTTTCTTTATTAATTCTTGGTGAGTTTTATTGTAGACCTCTGAAGGCTAACGTTTGGGATACTAGTCTCACTCGTTTACCCATCTATCCTGCATTAGCCTGTGAATATCTTCTTTCCCTCCTTCCTGGAAAAAAAAAAAAAAAAGATCATCTTGTCTGTCTCTTAATTGCCTGCCTGTCCTCTGTCTCTCTTAAATCATGGGTTCCCAGAATTGTCATACTTACACTTGATATGATAAAACATCCCATCGTGTATTGCGTAATTATATTACTTTTCATAATTCCTACAAATATTTTATGTTCTACAGTGATTGGGAGGGGGAAAAGCACATGCATGTTACAAACAGCAATACTATTTGTAGTGTAGGTTGCATCTTCTGGAAGAACTATTCTTAAAAACCATATGATTTTCAGATAATTTGCAGTGCTTTCTATTCACAGGTTAATTTCAGAAAGAGGACTTCCAGCCTTACGCCATTTATTTGACAATGTAAAATTCAAAGGTAAAGGGCATGAGGTAAGATGTACTAAAAATTCTCATTCTGTTTCTTAGGGACGTAGATTGGACTGATGTTTTATTCATCGTATTTACTTGGAAGGAGTAGAGCAAAGCCAGAGAACAAAATGTATTGGGTAACATTTGAAGGCTAAAACACGGCTAGGTAGTGTTACTAAAATGCGTCAGATGGGACTTTGACTGTACCTTAAGTCAGTTGACAGATATATCTTGATATTAAATTACCTCCCTCAAACTAACAGACAAAGAACCATTGTGCCTGAAATTTCTCACATGTAGTTGTTGACTACAGAGGGATTGTTCTTGAAATTTGTGAGGGTGTTAAGATAAGGCAGGCATAACAATTTACTTTGTTCTCAAGAAGTACAGAAATTATCTTTGAAAAATTTGGTGAATTAGTTTCATAATGTTGTAGTTTAGACTAGAGATTACATGTACAGCAGGAAATTCACTTATGGTTTCCATAGTAGCTGTGACACAAGACTTAACATTAAGCTATCATGTGACTAGAATATAACTTACTACATGTGCAAATAGAGTTATGGTTGCTATGGGAACAGTCAGGTTCCTTGACTCTACTGTTTAAGGTCTCAAAAATATTACATAAACTTTGGGTTTTTTGGGAGCCATTTTAAACTGAGTTGGAACATTTACAAGGGAATTGGGGAATTGACTGAAGTGGTTTGCTCCAGTCTCACCCTGGTGCGTCTTTCATGTTATATGCTGACGCTTGACGTGGTAAAAAAAAAAAAAAAAAAAAGCATGTAGTACTTAGTGGATGAAGTCCAGCTGAAATTCCCATTGCATTAGTGGAGCAAGTGGTCTTCAGCAAAACTGATAATCTGACCTGAAATGTTTATAGGAACGAGTTATTTCAGGTGAAAACGTAGCTGCCTACTTAATAGTATGTAATGGAGCTAATGGTGCGTGCAGTAATTTTTTCACGATTCTGGTTTAGTTTTCTGTTTTCTCTTTGGAAATTATTTTACAAAGAACCCTTACCATTAGTTTGCAGACTTCTGAAAAGTGCTCTGATATCCATGCAAATGTGCTTCCAAATGTTGTTCACCATTCTTATTATGCACGGCCTACCCCTGTGCTCTGACCATAGTTACAGTTGAAGCTGATAGGTTGCTGCTGTGCAGTTTTGCCAAACTTACCTTTGCAACTGTTAAATGCTGCTTGTGTTTCTGAAATTGCTTCTCCCTCTAAAATTTGATGACTTACCCAGCTGTTGAATAGAATGTCTTGATTTTTTGTTCCAGGTAGAGGACTTAGACACACTTATGAGACACATGGAACACTGGGCTCATAGATTGTATCCAAAACTGCCATTTGATGATTTTATTGACAAGGTAGAATCTTTAGGAAATAAAAATGAAGTTCAAGTAAGTGCTGGTCTATTCTAATACTGTAAAAGCCTAAGTCTGTCTGTAATGCTTTATTCACACTCTGATTGGCTGATGGAAACAGCCAATCAGAATGGTCCAAGCATGGGGGAGGCCTGCCATGATTCTGAAGCTGCACCAAGGACTGGACGGGGTGTGGTAGCTGGGGCCAGCAGCGCTGCCCTCGGCTCCCCCAGCCCACTCCCTGCAAGAGGCAGAACAGTGGCGGCATGGGGTGTTAGGTGGTGGCACTCCATCCCAGGCCCCTAACACCGCCTCCCCCGGTCATTCGAGATAGGCAGCCTGGCTAGTTTTCTAATAATACTATATGTTCTCAGGTATGGGTCTGGGAGGAGAAGACTTAAGTTATAATTAGGGACCTACCCAGATCACAATTTGATGGAATTTACAAAATTGGCCAGTCTCTGCAAAATCTGCGAGGGGGAAGAAGACATACCAAAAATAAAATGCTGATTCCTTAGCGGGAGCCAGCTGTTCTCCCGGCCATGCAGACACTTGGGGAGGAGGCGGGGGCAACTGCTGGCATGAAGGTGAGCAGGCAAGATGGCTGCCGCCCCTCCCTGCTAATTGGCTGAGAGGGCTGCATGTTGTTTGGCCCTGCCCCTCTCCACCAATCAGCATCAAGAGGCCGCAAGACAGAGCTCTGTCCACCAATCAGGGGTGGGGTGGGGTGGGGCCACTGCCCCTTCAGCAAATGGAGGCATTGGGGGGAAGCAGCCATGATAAGCCCTCAAAAATGGGGGCTGGCCTCACAATCTTCCTGTAAAATGAGCTGGCTGCTGCCTCCAAGTTGGGTAGACCTCTAGTTACATAATGCACTTCTAAATAATTTAATGCAAGTGTTTAAGTGAGCTATCACTCACTGTTGAATTAATTATTTAGGATGGCAATATATGTTGTGTTTTATTTGAAACAGTACTTCAGAGAATCTATTGTGACTAGTAATTAAGACATGACTACAAAAGTTAGTTATGTTGGAATCTTTTTACACATGCGTGTGCAACAGTCTGTTTACTGTGTGCTGTTTCCTCATTGTCAAAATCAGAAACTTACCAGTTATGTTTTAAGGTTTTGCATTAATAGCTTTAAGAAACTTGCTTTCATTGAGGTATTGCAAAGATGCTCTGGTGAATACATTAACTTGTAATACACAGCATCTCTTCTCATTTTCAGACCTGCTTAAAACGAATTAGACTTGATCTTCCCATTTTGTCTGAAGATTTTACAAGTAATGAAGGCATGTATGCTTTTGTGCAGTTCGTCACAAAAGTTAGCTCTTCAGAATGTTCACTTTCTCTCGCCTTTTTTTCTCTGACAGTTGAGGATAACGGGAACATAACAAATGCATCCTTGTAAGAATTAGGCTCATCAAGTTCTGTTTTTAAAACACTTACTTTTACTAAAGATTTATATAAATAAAGAACATTTGATCAGAAGTGTACTGATAACACTAAACTGCATTCTGATCAGGCTATATAAATCTCTAGATTTGGTATGAGTGGTTTTCAGGAGGAGTAGAATTGTTTCTTAGCACAATAGTATCCATTTTTTCCTGGAAAACAGGTATATATGTAAGTTAATACTGAAGTAAGACGAGTCATAGTAAAAGGCTTTTAAGAAACTCATCTGTAGAGGCAAGAACCTTTGATTTTTTTGCAAACTGACTCGTCTGATTGGGAACTGAAAATGTATTTAGTATGCCCAAATGATTTGTTTAAGCTGTATTGTTAAAATGAGAAGTTAGATTCTTGTCACCGCTGTGTTTTATTTATCTTACACATACATTATTACCTTTTTGTTCCATTATCTCAAAGTCCAGTATCTTTCTCCTTCTCCCTCTTTAGGCACACTTAATTCCATCAATTGTTTCAATCAGTGTTTTCAAGTGAATCAGATATTAGTCTGGCATATACTCTGTACATAACTTCTGTTTAGCAAAAGGAAACAGGATTCGGTTAGAATTACTTTCACAGTACTTACTAATACTCCAGAAGAGAGGATCCAGACCATAATTTTCTGTGGGTTCTTGTTACTAATGAAGAAGATGGCTCATTTAATGTGTTCCCTATTTCTCTATGGTAGTTTGCTGAAGAACTGGCACAGCAAGTTACAAGCTCCTTTGGTTGCTTCTTTCATTGAGGGTACAACTTGATTATGTCAGAAGGATTCTCTGGCAGAAACCCTCTAGCTACTTTTATTACTTCTGAAGTATCTAGGTTGTTTTGAGTTCCACGCAGATGTGTTTGAATTACACTGATCAGTGACTGGTGCCCTTATATCTCTTACTGTAAACCAGGCAAATCCCTAGTCTAGGCAGTGCTCTGGTGCCATACAACAAGAATACATCACTAGAAAGCTGTGATCATTTTCTGCTTCATAGTGAACTAACATTTCCTTCTTCCTCTCCTTTCCTTAAGTTAGCTGGTTTTATTCTGGCCTCCTATCTTCTGCCTCCCAACTGCATCACTCTGGATCAGCTTGAGGGGAAGATACTACCATTGAGGCATGTCCTTAGCTAAGCTCCACCTGCCCCTTTTTGAGAAGGGTATGTTGTTGATATTGAGTAGTCTGTTCTCCACCTGAAAATGGAACAGAGTTAAAATATATTAAGGAGGGAAACAAACTTGGAAAAAAAAAGTTAGAAAACTCTGACAAATTAACGTTAATAGTCTGTTCTGCATTAGTTTTTTACACCATGCTTATGTTTATAGATTTGAGTGCTTTCCAGTAGCATTAGCAATGGGACTAACATTAGTTGTGTTGGTGGTCTCTGAGTCTTCTTCCAGGGAAAGAAGCATGTGCATTGGAGCACCTTGTTTTGGCAGAGTTTTATAAATATGTATGTTAGAGAGGGCAAGATCAAAGTAATAAGGGTTGCACTTGGAAAGGAAAATAGTGAGGTTTGTAGTGGTCTTGAGTTAATGGAGGAATTTATTCCCTTGATTCAGATCAGTACTCAAAGTTCCCTCTCTTACAGAACACTTCATTGTTGGCTTTACAGAAATTTCTTAATCAGGGATGCAAGATTGTCAAGCACTGTCTTTTTGCTGGAGAGTTAGGTGGCCTTTTACATATCTTTAACCCCAACTCGGAAGAGTCCTTAAAATTAGCCAGGCAGCCACTTGTTTGATCATGTCCCCAAATGGTATATTTAATTTAGAAGCATAACAAAAAAAATTCTGCCTATGGGCTGCTTTGTGATCTAAATCAGAAATATAGGGGGGAAAAAAGACATTGATGTAGGGACTGTCTTGGGTTTTTTGTTTATATGTTTGTGTTTTTTATTGCAAGTCATGCATTCACATCTGGCCTTTTCAGAAAGAAAAGACAATAGGACAGTGTGTAAATTACTTTGTACCTTAGTCATTCAGATGACTTGGCATGGAAAATAGTTCAGGGAACAAGCTGGATAGCTTAATACAGATGTTGGCAACCTATGGCCTGCAGAGCCATTTGATACAGCCCACAATGCCAGGGGGTTTTGGTAGGGTTCCAGCAGTTAAGGGGCTTTCTGGGCCATTCTGGCCTGCAGCTGCTAACAAAAAAAAAAAAAAAGGGGGGGGGGGGGG